CCCAAGCAGCTGGGACCACAGGGGCCCGCCGCAATGCCCATGTTTTGGTTGCAGCCGTCATTGTTGTTTGGCAGCCCGGGCTGGATTCGAACCCGCCACCTTGGGTGTATGTGGTTGGTGCCTTAGCCACTTGAGCCACAGGCGCCGAGCCGATAGAGCATTTTTAAAAATGGATACTTTAAATTCTTTTAAAATTATGTTATATGGCTCGGCACCTGTAGCTTAGTGGGTTAGGGCCCAGGCAACATATACCAGGACTGGTGGGTTCGAACCTGGCCCAGGCCTGCTAAACAATGACATGTACAACAAAAAAAGCCAGCCATTGTGGTGGGTACCTGTAGTCCCAGCTACTTGGCAGGCTGAGGCAAGAGAATCACTTAAGCCCAAGAGTTTGAGGTTGCTGTGAACTGTGACACCGTGGTATTTTACCGAGGTTGATATAGTAAGACTTTGTCTCAAAAAGAAAAAATTATGTTATAGATCTTCACTTCTTTAGGACTAGTTGAATATTTATTTTAGTCCTTTTATTTGACTATATTACTTGCTTTGTTTGATGTGTTAAGATTTTGGTCATGTAAAAAACAGCTACCTATTATGTCCCTTAAGGAATGGCTTTATACAGGAAACATTTGACACCATACAGCCTCACTAGACATTCTAAACACTTGGCCAATCTGTTGGGAAGATGTGTCTTTTCTGAATTTCTATATTTCCAATTTAAGAAGGTTTGCCTCTTAAGAATGCTTAATCTTAAGGTAAAACCTTCCATTAGAGATTCCATATATTCTACTATCTCTCTGTTGCTATAAAAGTTACTGTCTTTGTTCTCAGTAGATTCAACATGTCATTCAAACTGTATCTGTGTTTGTTTTCAGCACTACATATTAAAGAATGCAACACACAGTCTTTGGAAAGCCCCAGAGAAACCCAAGCTATTGGATGTAGTTCTGGATTAACTGTTCAGTCAATTATATCTGAAGACCAGAGATTTACAATTGAAGAGAATAATTCGACATGTGGTCAGTTTGATGGGTCCTTTGTTAAATGTTTAGAATTCTTTCAACAACATATAATACCATTTTGTGACAAAATATATGACTGTAATCAATATGGTAAGGTTTTTACCGAATCATCATTGCTTAATCAATGTCAGGAAATGGATAATTCAGGAGAACATTACATATTCAATAAGGCTTTGATGTCTATTCAGGAATCTTCTCTAAATAATTACCAAGATATTTGTATTGACAAGAGAAATTATCAATGTGATGAACCTGATAAAACCTTGTACCAAGACTCTTGTTCAGGAAAACATCAGAAATGTCAATATGCAGAGAACCAGTACAAAGGCAAAAAATGTGAGAAAGTCTTTAATCAAAGTTTAAAGTTTTTTAGCAATGAGAATGGCCATATTCAAAGATATTGTCACAAATGTAATGACTGTGTAGAAGTTTTTACAGATTCAGGGAAACATTCTCAAAATCAGAGTATTCCTATTAGAGAAAACTCATCCAGATGTAATAAATGTGGGAAAGTTTTTAGTCACTCATCTAATCTGAGAAAACATAACATACTCCATAATGAAGAAAATCTTTGCAAATATAAAGAATGTGGAAAAACCATTAATCAGAGTCAACAGCTTCAAGAACATCAGAAAATTTATACTTCAGAAAGACCATACAAATGTAAAAGAGATAATAAATTATTTACTCAGTCCTCAAATTTTACTGTACATCAAAAAATTCATAGTGGTGTGAAGCCCTACATATGTAAAAAATGTGACAAAGCCTTTTCCAGGTGTTCACTTCTTAGTCGACATCAAAGAATTCATGCTGGAGTGAAACCCTACAAATGTAAAATATGTGGCAAAGCCTTTTCCAATAGTTCACATCTTAATCGACATCAAAGAACTCATGCTGGAGTGAAACCCTACAAATGTAAAATATGTGGCAAAGCCTTTTCCAATAGTTCACATCTTAATCGACATCAAAGAACTCATACTGGAGTGAAACCCTACAAATGTAAAATATGTGGCAAAGCCTTTTACTATAGGTCGGACCGTACTCAGCATCAGAGAGTACATACTGGAGTGAAACCCTACGCATGTAAAGAATGTGGTAAAGTCTTTTCCTATGGTTCACACCTTACTGAACATCAGAAAATTCATATTGGGGTGAAACCCTACAAATGTAAAGAATGTGGTAAGGCCTTTTGCCGTAGTTCAGACCTTACTCGGCATCAGAGAATTCATACTGGTGTAAAACCCTACCAATGTAAAGAATGTGGCAAAGTCTTTTCCCGCGGTTCACACCTTACTCGACATCAGAGAATTCATACTGGAGTGAAACCCTACAAATGTAAAGAATGTGACAAAGCCTTTTTCCGTGGGTCACAGCTTACGGAGCATGAGAGAATTCATACGGGAGTGAAACCCTACAAATGTAAAGAATGTGACAAAGCCTTTTTCTATAGGTCACAGCTTACTCAGCATGAGAGAAATCATAACAGAATGAAACCCTTACAAATGTAAAAAATGTGACAAAGCCCTTTACTATGGTCCACACCCTACTCCGTATCAGAGAACTAATAATGGAGTGAAAACCTACAAATGTAATGAGTGTTGTAAATTTTTTTCTCCATCTTCAAACCATAGAAAACATCAAAAAATTACATTAGAGTGAAACCCTGCAAATGCAAGGACTGTCTCAGATCATATGCCCAGACTTCAGACCTTAGAAAACATGAAAATAATTGATACTGAAGAGAAACCCTGCTGATGGAAAGAATTTGACAAAACCTTTTACTATATTGCACACATTGCTTGACGTCAAAAAATTTATACTGGCTTGGTGCCTGTAGCACAGTGGTTATGGTGCCAGCCACATGCACCAGTGCTGGCGGGTTCAAGCCTAGCTTGGCCCCGCTAAACAACAATGAAAACTGCAACAAGAAATAGCTGGCTTGGTGCCTGTGGCTCAAGCGGCTAAGGCGCCAGCCGCATATACCTTTTCTTATACAACTTTTTCTTTTAAGTCCTTCATGACCTATGAACAATTTGTCTGTTTGAGACACAAGTTACAGTTTCTATATTTGAAAAGCATATACAGAAACAGTAATACCACTTAAGAGTAACACTGGTGGCTAGGCACCTGTGGCTCAAGTGGCTAAGGTGCCAGGAACATACACCTAAGATGGTGGGTTCGAATCCAGCCTGGGCCGCCAATGACGGCTGCAACCAAAAAAATAGCTGGGCATTGTGGCGGGCACCTGTGGTCCCAGCTACTTGGGAGGCTGAGGTAGGAGACTCGCTTGAGCCCAGGAGTTGGAGGTTGCTGTGAGCTGTGATG